GTGTGTGTGTGTGTGTGTGTGTGTTTACCCTACATGTTCACAGTTCGATGTTCGTGTTAAATGTTCCTTCACTCACACCTCTGAATCAAGTCTGAATCAACATATGTGTGCATGTTTTTATTACTTTTGTTGTCTTATTATTTTACTTCTTGTGTTAAAGCACCTGAAATGACTCTGACATGGCTTTACGTCACACATGTTTGTATGTTTTCCAGGTAAGAGGTCAGTGGAGGGAATAATCCAGTGGATGAAGCGTCGTGCAGGCCCAGGTGCTCCAGTGCTCGACTCTGCAGACTCTGCAGCTCAGTTCATTGATTCCCATAAGATCGCTGTCGTTGGATTCTTTGATGTACGTTTACCTACTTTATCTCTCATACTAATAAATAATAAAATCACACATTTATATTTATATGTTGATTCATACCCATATTAGAGTCTGGAAGGCAAAGCGGCCAAGGTGTTCAAGGAGGTTGCTTTGGATGTGGTGGACACGGAGTTTGCTGTGTCAGCAAGTCCTGAGGTTTTCCAGAAGTATGAAGTAAAAGCCAACTCAGTGGTGCTCTTCAAAAAGGTACGAACGTGTTCTGATACCAACTGAGAGTTTTATAGAGAGGAACTACCAAGAGCAAAGCAGCTGTAATGATGTTAGCTTTGCTGCCATCTAGTGTCAAGAGATAGTGTATACAGTGTGTTCCTTTGTCATGTCCTCACAATGATAGAAAGGTGAGGTTATTTAGATGATTCTGACTTCTATAAACAGATTATCTTACTTTATTATTGATAAATCTGTATGGTTATTATTTCAATTAATTGATTCATTGTTTATTCAATACAATGTCAAAATAGGAGGGAAGCCCATCATAATTGCCAAGACCATAATAGAATTAAATTATATTAAATATTTCTTGTTGGAAAGTCAGTCAAAGCAACTACAAAGAGACACAAAAACAAAACAACACGGCTGTAGTTTGTGTCTGTTGTGTCTTGTATGTGGGAGGGGTGGGAGGCCTTTTTACGTGTCTGTGCCAGGGGCCCATTGTCTCATAATCCATCCGTGGATTAAATCCTATTTATAGTTTGTTTTTATTTATTTTTATTTCTTTGTTTGTCGTCGTCCCGTGTTGGATTAAATCTGTCTTTGTGTTTTCTGATTATTTTTGTAATGGGATTTATGTTTATGTTTGGTTTACGACAACATCAGATCATATTTGGAGGTGCCGAAGGTTGCTTGTTTTATCCTTTTACTATCAGTCGAATCATTTTCAGTGATGCAAGAGAAAGGCAACAGGAGCTTTTTGGTATATTTACTTATATCAATTACACACGTTGTCTGATTTGTTATCTTGTGAATTGTATCTTGTTTAATGTCTGTTTCATCTAATGGTGACATATCGATTTATTAACTTATTGTTCCAGAGCTACATTAGGTTAGGAGGTTACATTTAGGTCTACATAAGTTGATTAAAACAAATGTATGTGTGTGTGTGTCTGTGTGTGTGTGTGTGTGTGTGTGTGTGTGTGTGTGTGTGTGTGTGTGTGTGTGTGTGTGTGTGTGTGTGTGTGTGTGTTTGTTAGTTTGATGACGGCAGAGCAGACTTCGCGCTGTCAGAAGAGGGGAAACTGGACAAACAAAATCTGACCACATTCATCAAGGAAAACAGTCTGGAACTGATCATCCCTTTTAGCCAGGAGGTAACACAAACACAGACACACACACACGATTACAAAATTAAAATTAAATGTAAAATCATATTCAAATCATTCTATGTTTGTTTTTGCAGACTGCAGATAAGATCTTCACCTCTAGCATCCGTTTGCACAGCCTGCTGTTCATCAACTCCTCTGTGGAGAGTCAGACAGCCCTCCTGGACGAATCTAGGACAGTTGCCAAACAGTTCAAGGGCAAGGTGATGTGTGTGTGTGTGTGTGTGTGTGTGTGTGTGTGTGTCTGTAAAACAAAGTCAGTCAAAGAGACACATAAAACTTAATTTAACCTTATTGTCTTTGTCTTTTATGTTTTGTAGATGCTGTTCATTGTGATCGACGTGACACAAGCCATTTCTCATGTGCTGAATTACTTTGGCGTGTCCGAGAGTGATGCCCCGACTACACGTGTCATCAACATGGAGACAGGAAAGAAGTTCACCGTTACTGCCGGGGACCTCACAGCAAAGTCACTGGCACAGCTGTGTCAGGAGGTTGTGGATGGTGTTGCCAAGGTAACACACACACACACACACACACACACACACACACACACACACACACACACACACACACACATGCACCTGTTTCATAGTCAGTCACACAGCAGTAATAAAGCCAGTTTTTTGTCTTGTTTTTGTGGTGCAGCCCTACTATCGGTCTGAGGAGATCCCAGAGGACTGGGATAAAGGACCGGTCAAGGTCCTGGTGGGGAAGAATTTTGAGTCTGTTGCTTTGGACTCGACAAAGAACGTCTTTGTGGAGTTTTGTAAGTCAGTTTGTCTGCCTGCCTGAGTTTATACTGTAAAGACTTTAATGACATCCACTCATCTTTTATCATCACACTCAGTGGTTCCCAACCTTGGGGTCAGGACCACTACTAGGGGTCAACAAAGCTTCATGTGGGGGTCGCAAAGACTTCTTGATTTTAAGGAATGTAAGAACATTTTAAGAAGCTTCAATTTTGACAAATTAAAAATATCAAGAAAACTAATCTATGATTGAAATTCATCCGAATCGCTCCATAAAATATGTCACTTAGTCAGAACTTCAGTTTAATCATAGAAAGGGGGTCCTTGAAGGAAAAAGGTTGGGAAGCACTGATGAAACTTAATCAAACAGTGAATTTTGAATATGCTGTTTCCTTTTTCAAACTATTTCAGCATTAGCTCCTCAGATATAATTTCATTAACATATAATCACCTGAAATGTTTTGAACGGCCAAGAACAGACAATGCAAACACTGGCTCTAGATAGGACCTTTCACATTTTGCCTTCTCCTACACAGTTACAGGGAGAAATATTCATGTGGTGGCACAAGGGTGGCACAGAAACTTTAATAGAAGCAGTAATATATTCCGATTTAATTATACATGTCAATATTTGCTTGGAAAAGACCTCAAATGAAGATATTTGAACTCAAAAACATTACATTACTGTGGCACATTAGTAAAGCATTGAATAGAAATATCTAAAGGTGGATTTAGGAATCAGTAAATTGTTTTATTTCCAAATCTTCAGATATTTTTTCCCAAATTCATTCATTGAACTTAAAGCTATCACTAATAAATGTCTGTTTCTGACATGTTTTTTTTTTTTTTTTAATTAATCTAAATTTGTTAAATTTGACAGCATTTGACAAAATTCTGTGGTGACCAGGCATTTTTTAAGGGTTGCCACCCTTCAAGATCTGCCCCTGCACACTTGTATAAGGCTGAGCTGTATTCAAATGGTTCCAATCTGCAATTTAACTGCTAGATGTCACAAAATCCTACACAATGGTCCTTTAAATTATGAGTTAAATTTATCACTTTTCACTAACTCATCAAATTATATTGTTTTAAAAACTCTGAGTCTGAAATCACTGCCTACGTGCTTTCTAATGGACTATGTCACAGCACAGGCAGTATTGGTAAAATGTTTTGTTATTAGGCCACAACATACACAAAATGCCTTGAATACCAACAAGAAGAAAAAGCTTAACTGAACCCAGTGAGCTCAAATAGCCTGCAGCCAAACAATTGGTTCTAAAAACTGAACTAAGGTTGTTATTCATCGTTCATCACAGTCTCAACAGAAAGTTCCTCCCTGCTTTCATCAGCAGCTCTCCACCCTCCTCTCTCCTGGGTCTTGTCCTGAGACCGGTTCGTATTATGTAAGCCTCGCTGAAGCTTGGCAACAAATCAAACATGACAAATGACAACCTATGATGATTATAATTATACTCACTTAAAATGTATTAAAACATTTCCCCTAAAACAACTTACTGTTGTAAATTAACATTAAATTAACAACATATTATGACATATGTCAAAGGGACGGACTGATTTTGGATACAGACAGTGAGCTCATGCAGACTTTTCATCATACAGGCAACACTAATATCACCAGTTTCCAACTTATACGTATCATTAATATTCATGTAATCAATCTGTTTGGAAAGCTCTGATGTACCTGGAGTTAAATGTATGAAAGGGCCTGAAAAAGCAAACAGACATAGATAGATAGATAGATAGATAGATAGATAGATAGATAGATAGATAGATAGATAGATAGATAGATAGATAGATAGATAGATAGATAGATAGATAGATAGATAGATAGATAGATAGATAGACTTTACATGGAGGCCTCATAAGCCGAAGGTCATTATACAAGACAATTCAACACGCAGGAATGAGTCCTAAAACCCAGAACTAAGTTAGCCTGTTAGCACTCCTGGGAACATTAAAACGTCAGCACACTGAACACAGAGACCGATCTACTCACTGGTTCGTCTTTACAGTCCAGTTGTGTTTTGTTTGTACTCGCTCCCTTGCAAACTATTACCACTGGCTTTCTGTTGAAGAAACAAGGGCGATACTAACTTTGTCAACTCGAGATCTAGAGAGATCTATAGATACTGCGCTGTATACATATAAACAGTATATATAAACCGTGCACAGGATTGTGTGACCCTCAACTTTGCAATAATACAACCGCTGCTCAACATTAGACAACTAACATTATATTTGGCAGACATGTGATGAAACCAGCAGCCGATATGGGAATGTTTTTCCATCATTCATGACCTAAAATGTTGCATTAATAACATGATTCTGAGCTTGCATTGTATTTGGTCTAATACCTTGCCGGAAACCATCCCTCTAGTTGGAAAAAAAAAGTTGAATAAAGCAGAGAAACCTGGTTTTTATGTTGAAATAACTTATAATATTATAATACTTTGCAGTGTAGACTTCAGGAAACCCACTGATATAAAACCAGTTACCAGATGTGCCCTTTGCGTGTGTGTGTAGATGCTCCATGGTGTGGACACTGTAAGGAACTGACTCCCATCTGGGATCAGCTGGGTGAAAAGTACGCCGACCACGAAGACATCATCATAGCCAAGATGGACGCCACAGCCAACGAGGTGGAGTCTGTCACTGTTGAAGGATTCCCAACACTCAAATACTACCCAGCTGGTGACAAAGAGGTACACACACACACACTCACACACACACACGTTCCCCTTACAGACGTACAATGATTTTTGTAAGGAGCTTTTTAATATTATTACTATTTTATTATCCCACTTATCCTTTTTCTCTCTGCCTCTTCCTCCTTTGTTGTCCTTTAGGTGGTCGACTACACTGGAAACAGGGATCTGGAGACCATGTCCAAGTTCCTGGATGGTGGAGGAGTGTTGCCCCAGGCGGCAACTGATGAGGACGACAAGGATGATGATGATGATGATGATGATGATGATGATGATGACGAGGAAGACGACGAGGCTGGTGATGATAGCAAGGTTTGTATTTTTACTACTACTTTATATATGTTTCCTGTAGATATAAATCTATTCACCACTCTCTCATGCTGTCTTCCTCTCTTTCAGGAGGCTGGTGAGTCTGAAGAGGTACCGACCAACAAAACAAATAAAGATGAGCTGTGATGTCACTTTGTTTTCTGGCCAATCAGGATCAACCTAGCGTCTTCCAATTTTTCTTAATAAAATTAATTTGGGTTACAAACATAAAGATGTTCTGTGTTCACCTGATTTGATTTTCTAACATTCAGTTCCTGATTACTTATATCAAGTCAGTTACATAGAGATTTTCAGTGTGACGAAAAACATAAATAAGTTTATTATACAAGACAGTTATGTGATATGTGAAGTAACCCCTGACCAAAACATGTTTGATACAAATATATATAAAGATGTACAACACAGCGCTGCACCATCAGTGTCTGATTTTGAAGGAAAAACACTTAAATGCTTCATTTCAAATGTTTAGAATCATCACTAAACAATTTTTTGTTATCATGCAACAACACTTAGACGACATTGTAGTTGTATTTGGCGGTTCTTTGTTAATGTAGTGAGAAACACGAGTTGAGGATCTTCGTCATTCTCGGTGGCGGGGAGGCAACTACAGTTAACAGTTTGTGGCAGATAACGATTGCACTGAACATAATAATATTGAATATAAAATGTGGTTTATCAAACTTACGTTTAGATTTTTTTATTGAACTTATTGTATTTCATAAATTATACATGACATTTTATGTCGTGACCCCCTGCAGTACTCCAGACTACCCCTAGGGGTAAACGTACCCCCATTTGATAAACACTGAATTAATCCAACAGTTTTATGATCTTGTGCCATAAAAGTCAACATTATTGTGTCTTGTACGAGTGAAAAAACAATTACGAGGGGACAATATGCAGAATAGAAAGAGATTTAAAGTTAAAAGGAACAACACCAGGTCCTGTGTAGTTAATCTGACACAATCCAGATGGATACAACGCTTTATTAGACGCTCTATTGCTTAAGTTTGGAATAAGGTTCCTAAAAGTCTACAATGTCCCACTGATGTATAAGGCAAAACTGGACCAGTTTTAGTTTAAAATGAAGTGTTGTCAGAATAATACCTGGTCAAGTATGTTGTTGTTTTTTGTGCTTTTATATGCCACTAATGTCGTACCACACTATCTCCACACCAACACACCTGCACAACATTTAACTACAACAACGACCACAATGGAAATAAGTCCTGTTCTTGTGTTATCCTTGATATTCAGTTAAATGTGCATTGGTGTTGCAGTGTTAAAACAACACTGAACAAAACAAAAATACAAAAGACAGATACATTATGTATGAATGGTAATTAAAACATACTGCAATTACAGTGTGAGTATCAGTACACACACTGTGAGGCTGTACTTTAGCTAAATGCTTACATCAGCATGCTCATGTCACTTGATGCTCAAAACTACAAGTTTGAAAATGAAAAATATTCAGAGGTGTGGAGTTAGAAAGTAGAAAGCTGTGACCAGACTGCTCCTGTTCCTTATCTCTGCTACATCAGCCTCTACTAGCATAACTCTAACTAAATAAACAGTTAAATTAAGTAGCAGTTGTTGAGATTGTAGCTTAAGAGGTGACGTTACTGTCTGAAAGGTGAGACGGCAGTGACTCACTGCCATAAAAAGTGGAACATTAGGAAATTAAAAGTGACTTTAAATAAAACAGGCGTTTGAAAATAAAAATGAATTGAACAAATTATTGTTGTTTTATGTGATATTCATATTTCATAATTGTTTAGTTATTTATTCTGTATTGAACACTTTGGGGCTCCATGGTGAACAAATAGATTATGGTGTTTTATAAGCTGTTTATTCAGTGTTTATTGGTTATAAATGGTGAATGGGGTGGTTAAAGTAAAGGGTTTCAGAGCAAACTACTCTCATTGGACCAACATATACATACATATAACACATATATTTATGTTTGTGACATTCACTTGTGAGGTTTCACACATATTCACATACTTGATTCTATGTTATTTTTCTAATAAAAGAATATATATATATATATGCAAAGCAAATATAGCAGATATGACTATGTTACATCTTGGTAATTGCTTTACTGTAAATAAAGTGTTACTGTAAATAGAGGATGACAACATTTAGGAAACAGGTGGCTGTAAACTCACCTGAATGAGGCGCGTGAAGAAGGTGAGTTTGTATGAGGGATACAGGTAAAGAGGGTTGGTTTTCAGCCTGTGGGAGAGTTAAATGTTTCTAATTCCAGAGAAAACAGGTTCAACAGGCTGTGATGTCACCAACATGATACGCGCTTCCTCCCGCCAGCCGAGCTTCCTCATTTGTCCAAGGTAAGACCACTGCTCTGATATATCTCACACATCCCGCTGTTAAATTAGTGAAGGAGGACACAAGCTATACTCTTTGCAAGCAGTATTTCTTTGTAGTTTATTTATGGCGGAGGCAGGTCTGTGCTTGTTTGGATCCGATACTCAGTCTTGCATGTATCTTGTTTACATAAGAGAACAGTCCCATGTGAGCTAGAATTACTTGGCTGCATTAAGCAGGTGTGTTTAATGGCTGATACAGTTGGTTTTAGGTGACAATTGCGGAGAAGCAGTGAAGTGGGATCACATGATTCAGCATTACCTGTGCTATAATGACACTGTGTTATTTTTAACTTATAGTAAGAGTGTGAGCATTTGAACTGGGTTAAGCTAATAGTGAGTGTGGCATAGTTAAAAAAAGCTTTACAGTAACTTAATGAGAGTGAAATCATTTGAGCTGACATTCTACTCTGTATTTATATATATATATTATTAATATAAAAATCACTTATTCTATGGAAAATAAGTTGAAACTGTCCATATTTTTGGAGTTTTACATTTCAACTTTGAAAGTAATTGAGAATAACATAGCAGCACACTGTGTAAGTATAGTAAAGAAATGTACAAGATATCTACTTGTACTATCTATACTATAATGTTGTTTTGACACTGTCCCTTTAAACCTCAGCTGCTCTGGTAAAAGTTCCTAGTAAAAGTGTGCCTCTCTATTGTCTAATATCTAGTAGTACAGGGAGGAGATTATACCAGGAACTGCAGAGCTGCAGCAGTGTGAACATCACTCAGCTTTAAGTACATAAACACAAGTGTATGTTCACAGTAGCTACAGTATTTAAACACTGATTCACTGACTTCAGTGTCCTCATACGCACTGGGCTGGTGAAAAAAGAAGCAGTGTTCGCAGTTAGAGATGGTGGTGATAATACAGATCAGCAGCGAGGAGGAAGTATTCAGATCCTTTACTCATACTACACAGCAAGTTAACAGTAGTGCATTTAAAACGTAACTAAAACTATGTAAAGATCAGCTAAATGTTATAAAAAATTGTCATTCTGCAGTGAATGGTTCCTGTCAGTGTTTGATTATTATATGTGATGTTTTGGATTAATATTACTGCTGCATTAATGTGTATGCTGTATTTTACTACTGTGGATCTTTATGGTTTTTCTAATTTTAATTACTTTACTGTTTAATCTACAGCAATGCATCATATTATATAAAAGATCATCATATGTTTTGTAACATAGCTGTCCTGTGAGAACCACAAAGACATCTTTTCATGAGCTTTAGCTTTTTTTATCTTAAGAATATGAGCATTTTCTCAACCTTTAAAGGAACTTTTAATCCTTCAGTTTATCAGAAACATTTAAAATCACCAAATCTGGAGATACGTGGTTTTCACGGGACAGAAAGAGCATTTAAAAAATCTGAGGTAACTCGTAACTAAAGATCTAGTGATGTATAAAGCACTTGTGTAAATGTACTCAGGTAAGAACAATACATTACACTAGGTACACATTAGGAAAATGCCATATTGTAGAAGCAGAAAGCACTTAATGGGGCACATACCAATAACAATAGAAAATCTAAATACTGAATCTGTAACTAGGTCCAGATAAACATCACTCAGGATACATGTTCCTGATAATATTCATTTAAGTGCAATAGTTAAATGGGGATCTGGATCTACACAAAAAACCTGTTTGATAAAAATATTCATTCAGATCCAGTTTGTAACATTTACACACTATTGACAGAAATCTTCTTCATTGGCGTATAATCACCTGAAAATAAGGATTGTTGCTGTTTCGTTACCTTAGAATGAGCCTTATCTACAGTCGCTGCAGGTGGCCTTCCATGGAGGCTGCAGTGTTGAACTGCCATGTTTCTACAGTAGTCCTGAAGGGACAAACACAACAAATGTAGATAGGGTCGTTCATATTTTGACATTAAAGCCTCCTCAAGGTCTACTTGCTAGCTTTGTCTGAGAATTTCAACTTCATCTCACAGTCTTCATTAGAGTTTGCTCAGTTTTCAATAGAGTGAACATTCGATTATGATCATGTGACTGAAGGGGGGGCGGAGGTCTGTGGTCAGTATGGATGTGATTGGCCTCCTTGACCTTTCTCTTATCGTCCACTGACTCCTCATTTACTATGACTCCTTCCCCACGGATGCTGATGCTTTATGTTGTCTGTTTCTGGCCTTCATTCTGTCTCTTGACAACTGAACCGTCTCAGTAAAAAAACATCCTCTGATGAAGGCTGTGCGATGCGGCTGAAAATGTCACATGACATTGAGTGAAGATAATTTTGTCAAACTACTGCTACCAAGGTTAAGAATGAGCAAAAATAAAACCTCTTTGAAGGAATAATGTACATAACAATAATGGAAAATGTAGGTTTTATTACACTAAAAACCAGCAAGCGTTACATTTGAATGATCTCCTCTTCATCACCAGCTTCCTGTTTGACTAGATGATCTTCTGATGGAACCCCCTTCGTATGAGGAGTCCCGTCTCCACCCTCCTGCTCTGAGCGCACAAGTATTCAACATACCTCCTCCCCCCTCCTACGACGCCTCCCTCTCCTCCCCCTCAACACCTCCTCCCACCTATGGGGAAGCAAGTAAGATAAGATTCACAACTCATCAGGTAGTACTGAGAATTCATTCACACTGAGCCGGCTGAGAATGCATCTTTTGTTTCTCTGTTTTGGTCCTCTGTCCACACTAAAGCTGTGTTTTAATGTGGATAGAGTAAACTGAGCTTTTCAAAAACAATGATACAAGTCTACTCAGACAAAGTTGTGGACAGAAATACACACTAATGACACATTAATGATGTATTTGTCTATAATGGGATCTAAAATGGCAGATCATAGGTTAAAAGTTAGAGGCGACTATAGATTATGTTCTTTACTTCACTGGCACTCAAACCCTCACTGCTCCTCTGAAAGCTCATCTCACTCTGAAACACTAAAGCAGCTGTTTTAGGATGTATAAATACTGTTGTAGTCTGCACAGAAAGGAGAGAGAAAGATTTACAAATGACCGACTTAATGTGTACGTACTTTACTTTTTTACATTTTCTTTATTTCTTCTTTCTTTCTTTCTTTCTTCCAGTTACAAACCAGCCAGATCCTTTTCCTGTCCTGACTCCGCCCCGGGTGCCAACTGCTGCTCATCCACAAAACACTGGACTCATAATCCATCCACCTATACAAGGTGTTAACTTTATCTTTCCTATTGGTCTTTAATAGCACACACACACACACACACACACACACACACACACACACACACACACACACACACACCAACCAACAGAGCAGGTAAAAAACAATTTTGAATTTGCTCCTCATTTTGTTCCTGATATCCACGTCTTTGCTTCCCCTCTGTATTTCAGTTGGCGTAACGCCGTCTGTCAGTAGCAGACAAACTCAGCCAGTAGTCGTTGTGACGCAGCCGCAGCCTGTTCCTATCACAGTGACATATCTGAGAGACGCCCCTGGTTTGGTACGCTGCCCACACTGCCACCACATTGTCACCACTAAAGTCACATACCTGCCTGGGAGGGCTGCCTGGTGCATGTGTTTCCTTCTCACAGTGATGGGGTGAGACAAACACACACACACACACACACACACACACACACACACACACACACACACACACACACACACACACACACACACACACACACACACACACAAACACACACACACACACACACACATGCATGAGTATTGAACATCAGAGCACTAAAGCAGCTTTAACTAAAGCTTCATCTGTTCTGTCTCTGCATCAGGTTGATCTGTGGCTGCTGTCTGATTCCGTTCATGGTACATGGCCTACAAGATGCACATCATTCCTGCCCCCAGTGTGGAGAACATCTGCACACATACACAAGATGACACTGTCAGGATTAATAAGGCTCCTCTTGTCCTCAGTCCACCCAAAATCTCATAGCACCTGTAACACATTTTTGTCACAATATGGATACATAAGCTGGTTGTCATAAGCTAGAAATGTAAATAGCTCACTGCTCACATGCTACATCTCAGGCATATACTGAACATAGAGATGGACAGAGGAGGAGCAGGAACTTTTTGAGAAGGTTCTACAGATGTTTTCATACAATATTCACTTTAAAAATAGAGTTGGAATCTGCAGGAACTCAAACTCAACTCTGATTTTTACAATATAGGACAAAAATCTAATGTTTTAATGTATTTTTTGTGATTCCAAAAAGATTTACTGTTCAATTTTTAATATGATCTTTCTCATCATATTCCATCTCTGACAATTCAGATGGTAGGGTTGAGATGTTTTACACATTTTTGAACACTTTAAGGCACTGGTTCACTAACTATGGTATGTATACCACTGGTGTTATGTGGAGAAATATTTTTTAAGAAATTACGTTTATTTTAATACTATCACAAATACTACAAAATGTTTAATGAACACATGGAGATAGCTGAAATAATAATAATTTACAATAAGTTTTGTATTTCCTGTAATATTTTGTTTCAATATCAACCTGCTATGTAGTCACGTTACTGCACATAGCGCACGCATACATCCATGATTAGTTACGAGCTAACGTGTGATGGCACGATAGTAAGCAGAAGTAAAATGAACACTGAGAAACACTGAATTAAGGCATTCTTAACAAGCGCACAAGCATTTCTATTACGCAGAAGAAAACTAGGCAAAAACACGTTTTGCACTTTGACCTTTTGTAAGAATGTATAGTTCAGATTTTAATTAAAGTGATGAGGAGGAAGAGAATCCGTCCCCGCGTTGGCATATGACAGGATGCTTTATAACATTACAGACAAAAGACTAAACAGAGGAGAACAGACGACATTTATGGAGAACAAGATGATGACTGGGGGACAATTAATAGTTTTGTTTTTCATAAATCTGACAATTTTATTTTCTCTATTTAAATACCAAAAGAACAAATATTTGTTATTTCTCTTTTTCTAATGCAGATACAGCATTCATGTTTACTATGATGATGAAGGGAGCAGCTTGTCAAGGCTCAAATGCCAGACATGATTTTCTTTGTTAGAGCGAACAAAGCCTGTTGGAAAACACATTGACAGTGACATGCTGCATGCTATTTTTCTGCATAATTCTTTGTTTAAAGGCCCTGCACATCCGAGGTAGACCCACACAGGTGACTTTAATCATTGTGACGGATTAGACCTTTTCTCAGGACTGTGTGGGCGTGTAAAGACTGTTCTGCTTACATCACTCTGCTGTTAGCTTTGTTGCACCTGTAACGTCTTTATCACCGTACATGTAAGTTATAGGTGACCTGATGTAATTCCAGTTTATAGCTCTGCTCACCTTCAGCATGAGCACATGAACACCTGTGTGGATGTCCAAGGCCTTTAAAGTACAATCGGGGATCCAAATATTACTAATAATATACAGGATTGGAACCTGTTACCAGACATTTTAATACAAACAGGTACAAAAGACAATGACTACATTTAAAATAATAATGTTTTTGGTAAAGTTTACTCATCCTGAAGTCACACAGGTTTATAACATGAATTGTGATTAGTTTATATAGTGTACACTTAATAATGTAAACTTAATACAGATTGTGTCTTTAAATTATTAATTTTCAGTTGATTATATAACATATCTATTTTTAGATTTAATTCCATGTCATAAATTTACCTTTGCATTACTTACCCAAGGTAAAATAACCACCATAACTAAGTCACAGCAAAATAAATATTTTTAAGTAGTTCAGGACTCAAAGTTCAAGGTTCAAGGTTACTTTATTTGTACCCACAGGTAGATTTGGTTTACGCAAACATATGAAGACAACAAACAACTCAGACAATAGACAAACATAATACAAACATGATAATGGATAAAGAAAAAAAAGTTGCCCTTTTAACACATTTGTATGTTAAAGAAAAAGTTTGACATTTGGGGAAATACGTACTTTCTTGCTGAGAGTTAGATGATAAGTTTGATACGCTCATGTGTTTCTGTCCATACATGTGAAGCTACAGCTAGCTTAGCATTGATTTCCTGCGGTCGCCATGTAGTTGCCAGGCAACTAGTGAAGAGTTTATTTTGAAGATAGTTACCCTAACTGCCTTTTGTGTTGGGCATTTGTTAATAAGTGAACGCAGATACCAACAAATAGTGTAGAATCTCTTGTATTACTGTAAATATAGAATTTTCTTCAGATGATTGCGGCTTTGTCGCCACGTTTCCAACAGTTTAATAATTCTTGTGCAATTCTTTCACAAATATACCGTCGCACTATAAAGTACAACTCTGAGGCATTTTTTCTGCTACAGTCTGAATGATGTGTCTTGACGAGACAAGGTTTTTGTACGAGAGGTAACCTACTTTAGAGATGCTGGTAGGCAGACTTTGTCACCTTTGGACGGAGCCAGTATGTGTGCGTTCCTTAGCTATAAAGCTTCAAATCCACCGGACAGATGCTGTAAGAGGGCCCAGTGTCAATCCTCTCATCTAAACTCCTGCAAGAAAGCGAATAATCATGTTTCTCGAGATGTTGTACTAATCCTTCAAGATATGTACTTGATGTTTTCTGCTGTGGATATAGAAAACAGGGTGAAGGTTGTGGTTGAAGGATATGTTCAGTGCCTCTGCTACTGAGTCTATGCACTTCAATACAATGACTGATTAATGCACCAGCTTTGGTGTGATGCTTTGTATACCTGCCAAGTTGGACTCAACTTCCTCTATTTAATCAAAATGTTGTCATGTTGTTATTTATCATTCTATCATGTTGATAGGGAAATAAAAATGGTGTTGGTTACTGTGAAGTAGTTTCTTTATTTCCAACATCTGTGCAAGTGGGTGAAATTTACATACGACCACGTGTGTGTGTGTGTGTGTGTGTGTGTGTGTGTGTGTGTGTGTGAGTGCTTTTGTGCTTCCATTTTGACCTTGTTGAGGCAAAGGGCATTTTGATATTAGTGATACACTTGATATGAACAGCAGCCAATAGCAGAGATACAGCAGGGCTCAGATAGGAAAGTTAATCAGCTACAGACTGGTGGGCCTGGTCGGCAGATAACAAAAGCATTCACAACTACCAGCTCAGCACTGACACGCCACACACACACACACACACACACACACACATAGTATATCAACCCTTCCTTTCACCACTCCCTCCGTACCTTCCCGTCAAGCTTGCTCCAGTGTCCAGTTTGTCAGTCTGTGTGTGAGCCGTCATGAGGACACTGTTGTTGCTGGGGGCGACGGCCTTGTGTCTCTGCGCGTTTGTTGCTGCTGACAAACAACCAGACCGACAGGCAGACAAATCATCCCCAGAGAAGGATGGAGTTTTACAGCTGAAGAAAGGAAATTTCAACCGGGCACTGAGAAAACATAAGCAGCTGCTGGTGCACTTCTGTAAGTTACACACAAAGAACTCACACAGCTTGATCTTGACCTACATGTTTATATCTACGCTGAGGATGAAAATGACACCATAAGAGGGCGAATGTGGTTCGTAAGTCTTGTAACACTCTGCAGCAACGTACTGTGTGTGTGTGTGTGTGTGTGTGTGTGTGTGTGTGTGTGTGTGTGTGTGTGTGTGTGTGTGTGTTTCTGTGTGTGTTTCTGTGTGTGTAGATGCTCCTCTGTCTGGAGAAGGTCATCGAGTCTCGGCAGCGTTCGAAGGGGCTGCTGCAGAGCTTCAGGGGTCAGAGGTCAAACTGGCAGTGGTTGATGTAACACAGGAGAAGGACCTGGCTAAAGAGCTCAGTGCGACAGGCCTCCCCGCGATCAGGCTGTACCTTTCTGGAGACAAACACAACCCTGTACCCTGTCCCGGTACGTGCAGATAACATATAGTATGTTCTTTATAAATAGGTTACATTAATATAATGTAATGGAGGTGTAATGAAGAACTAAAGGCCTGCTTCCAGACAGATGAAACATTGTAAAGTTATTAAAATATATGGATTTCTGGTTGGAGAGGAACCAGGCCAATCGGACCCTGGCTAATGATGATAATGTAATGTAATAACTATAACTGAGTTACATAATCAGGATACCAAAAAAAGGTATCTGTAATCCATTGGTTACAGTACAGTACAGAGTACAGTTACATTTAGTAAAAATAGGGAGTCCGTTTTTCGTTAAAAATCGACACATTTTTGATGCTAAAAATCTTTTCATTTTCTTTTCAAAAGGTATGTTACTTTAATATTGTGATACTTGGATAACGTTACTGACTACATGTTTTAATTAGTAATTAAAGCTGACACAGTGTTCAAATATTTACTTGATTACTTAAATTATTTCTTTTTGAGTTAATTAGCCTCCCATTTGTTGTTAAGCATCCACGCTTTAATATTTAACTCTTAACTCTTAACCAAACTAGAATTTGGAAAGGATTAGCTTAGCTTAGCATAGCTGTAGCGGGGAAATAGTTAGCTTGGCTCTCTCCAAAGTTAAAAGTATTCGCCTACCAGCACTGTAAAGCTCACCAATTAACATGTTTGGATTGTGATTAAGTTCCTCAGAACTCGGCCTCCATTTTGACCTGGCTGAAGAGGAGGGCGGGGTCTGCTGCTGACCTCATCACTGATCTTAGCCAATCAGAGGCCTCAGATGAACTGAAAGTAGTTGGATTCTTCAAGGTGAATATACATTCAATACTTTACAGCTCACAGCTAACAGCTAACGGGTGCTGTGACTGTAATCAACAGTCTGAATAACAAATTGTGTGTGTTTTAATGTGTAGGAGCTGGACCACGAGTACGTCCAGGTGTTCTACGCTGCGGCGATCGACCTTCCTGATGTCAGCTTTGTTGTGACACAGGACGATGAAGTTATCAACAAATATGGTCTCACCCATGATGTTGTACTGCTGCTCAAAAAGGTATTTTAAAATGCAACACACACACACAAACAAGCATCTCTGAAAGATGGCTGTATGTGTGTCTGTGTGTTCTTAGCACTGACTCAGTGACATGGGATTTAAAGCATTATAACATTATTGCATTAATGTATAAGGTAGTTCACTGCATTCTTACGTGTGTGTGTATGTGTGTTGCAGTCTAAGCTCATCCAGGCTTATAAAATGACGCCTCAGACATCCAAAGAGGAGCTGATCATTTTTATCACTGTCTACCAGATGGACCCAGTCACTGAGTACACTGGACAGGTACAGTATTGGATGCATTAAACATTTTCACACACATATAACTGCTCTACTCCCTCCCATGCTTGGAAATGTTGAAACTCCCTGAGAACGGTTACTTCATTATATTAAAACACTGAAGAACCTGAAAACACTTGACTTGATTTTGTTCTCATATTTAAAATCTACGTCCTAAATGGAGAAGCCACCTGAATGCGGTCAAAACAACCAAAGAGTTCAATCAGAAGGATTTGTCAAAAAATACGCCTATTAAGTATGATTATTAAAAATAAAAATGTATATAATACAGACTGAGAATTGTATTTCCTAAAAATATCAGGAAAACTCATCTCTGATCCAATATAGCTACACAGTAAATAATCTGCTCAAAATTCATCCATTTCGCTCGTTTTACACAAACTTCCTGCAGTTATATTGAATTCAATATTTGGGTTCTATGTACAGTTTGTGAGTTGTTCTGTTCTGTTATTGTTACACTGAATATGATATAAAATACTCACTTTGTCAGGGATCATCTGTTTACTCAGTGATAGAAAAGGAAGGAAGGAAAAAGGTTGGAAACCACTGTGTTACATTAAAACTGATCAGATATTTGTTAAAAATGTAGACACAAAGGGATGTGGAAGTGGTTAGCCTCACAGCAAGAAAGTCATGGGTTCAATTCCCAGCTGGGGCAGGGCCTTTCTGTGTGGACTTTGTATGTTCTGTTTACCATCAAAACTTATATTAGGTTAATTCTCAGTGGAGTTGGTCACACCGGGCGCTGAACAGTAGCTGACCACTCATCCTTGTACTTATGGGTTCAATTTGTTATTGGTTTGATCCCCGGCTCCTCCTGCCACATGTCGAAGTATCCTTGAGCAAGATACTGAGCCCCAAATTGCTCCCGATGCTGTGCATCGGTGTGTGAATGTGTATGAATGCTTTAGTTTCTGTTCAATGGGCTTTGCCATTGCTGTGTGAATGTGTGTGAAAGGGCGAATGTGGCACGTTGTGTAAAAGTGCTTTGAGTGGTCGGAAGACTAGAAAGGCGCTATACAAGCACAGGTCCATTTACCATTTACCATTTATAATTATACTTAATGTTATACAGACTTTGGTCTAGACCTGCTCTATTTGAAAAGTGTCCTGAGATAACTTCTGTTATGAATTGGGGCTATACAAATAAAATTGAATTGAATTGAATTTAAATGCAGAGGACATATTTCACTATACTGTGTATGTTTGTATATGTGACAGTAAAAATGTATTATATTCTCTATGCCAATGTACACAATGCAACACAGTCACACAGAGTTAAAAGATAAAACATTCATATAATATTGGTATAATAATAGTTGGTGCACTTCCTTGTTTCTGAAACACTTAAGGTCAATGAGTCTTTCAAACTGAAAAGACTTTGAGTGGAGTATTGTGTTGTGACAGCCTTTCCTATACAACTACTTCACATTCAATATAATAACAGTCGACATCTTGTGGGATCGTCTTCTTTCATCTTCCTTCTGTATGAAAAACATACAAGTAGCTGTTTAGACACACATAACCTTATACTGTGGTGTGTTTATGTTATTCACCCTCTCTCTTGCAGACAGCCACTCAGATATTAACATCACCTGTGTTAAACCACGCACTCCTGTTTGTCAACAAAAGCTCTGCTGACTTTAAAGAGATCTACTCCGCCTTTAACAGCGCTGCAGAAGCGTTCAGGTTGAGGGTAGGAACCAAACACCCACTCACACACAAATTATATCAAACAGCAGCATTGCAAACACACATTAAAATAATCTCCCTGCAAGCTGTTGGAGTAACGTCACCTCCGCATTGTATGTGTGTGTGTTCAGGTTTTGTTTGTGTGGGTGAACGTGGATGAGCCTCGTAATGGCAGGTTGATGGAGTACTTCCGAGTTCGGGATTTCGAGGCTCCTCTCATCCGACTGGTCAACCTGACAGACCATGTGACCTATCACCTGCCCTCTGACACTCTGGATGTAGACACCATAAAACAGTTCTGCCAGTCCTACCTGGAGGGCAAAGCAAAGGTAACATTCACTCTTGTCTAGTGTGCGAGTACATGACAGGAACTGCAGAAACAGCATGTCCTGATGTAATTAATGAATGTGTTTGTTTGCATGTTAATGTGACAGCCTAAGATGCAGAGTGAGCCGATACCTGAAGGATGGGACAAACAGCCGGTGAAGGAGCTGGTGGGAATGACTCTGGAGAAAGTCGTCTTTAACCCCAACAAGACTGTTTTTGTCCTGTTCTGTATGTATATATTCTCTTCTTTTAAAAACTACCCAGTAAGCTTGGACTTGGAAATTTGAAGGTAAAAAGACGGTTTAATACTGGGCCAAATGTGGCTGAACAGTGTAACGTCTTGGTCACTGGTTGTCAAACTATGGTACGTGTACCACTGGTGTTACGTGAGCAGTCTGTGTGCAGAGGAATCTATAAAAACATAAAATACTGTACAAAATAATACAAAATATCAAATACAATTCTATTCAAATAATTAAACACAACCAACCAAACTGGCCCCTAGATGTCCTTCAAATCAACAAATCCCTGCTTCCTGGGTTGCTGTTTTCTCGACGCTCTCTTAGCTTTCCACTCTTGCTTTTCTTTGTTTCTACTTGTGTGTGTGTGTGTGTTGCCACTTGGACTCACCACCTGCACTTAAAAATCTGTGTATTTCAGATCTTCCTTACAGTCAGGAGTCCCGCGCTCTGTTTCCACTGTGGGAGGAGTTAGCCGAGGCCTTGAAAGAGCGAGAGGACGTGGTCGTCGCTCGCATCGATGCCTCAGCCAATGACATCAACATGTCAATGCAGGGTGCCTACCCGTCCCTCTGCCTGTTCCCTGCTCTGTACGCTGAAAGAGTAAGGCTTCTTGTTTTCTGTTTGGAATTAACTAATCAATCAACAATCTGTCAATAACATAATGTGTCAATCAGTTAAATACTTTTTTGCCAGTATAAATCCTCAAAATCTTACTTAAGAAGCAACAGTTTGAAGTAAAAGTAGTCAACGAGTACAATGAATAAATGAGTATAGATGTAAATTTGAATACACACCGATTAGCCATAACATTATGAGCACTGATTGGTGAAGTGAATAACTCTGATTATCTAGTTATCATGGTTCCTGTCAGTGGGTAGGATATATTAGGCAGCAAGTGAATATTTAGTCCTCAAAGTTGATGTGTCAGAAACAGAAAAATGAGCAGCGTGACGATTTGAACGACTTTGAGAAGGGCCAAACTGTGATGGCTAGATGACTGGGTCAGAGCATCTCCAAAACTGCAGCTCTTGTGGGGTGTTCCCAGTCTGCAGTGGTCAGTACTTATCAAAAGTGGTCCAAGGAAGGAAAAGAACCAGAGACAGGCTTATTGATGCACGTGGGAGCGAAGGCTGGTCCTTGTGGTCCGATCCAACAGACGAGCTACTGTATCTCAAACTGCTGAAAAACTTAATGCTGGTTCTGATAGAAAGGTATCAGAACACATAGTGCATCACAGTCTGTTGTGTATGGCTGATCGGTGTATATTCTTGAGAGTCTAATGCATTAAAGAAGCTAATTATTGTCAAATTACATCTGAAAAATGTGGTATATACGTGTTATCCCTACTGTGTGGGGGGATGTTCAGTGTGTGATATCTGTGTTTCCTTTCAGGTGGTGGTTTACCCAGGTAAAAGGAAGTTGAAGGACCTGATCAAGTTTCTGGATAAAGAGATGGAGAAAGCCAAAAAAGACAGAGTTAAGGTAAATGATCTCCTTCATTACTCTGCCCCACGAACAACAGCACCACTGCAGTGGTTTCATTTTGTTTTGACTGTGTGTGAGAGAGAGCTGTCCTTTCTTCTTAGTTAAAAATAAACTTCTTTTCTTTTGTGTCTTCAGGAGGATGAAGACAGGAGGAAGTACATTGAGGCCGCAAAAGCTGAGGAGGCAAAAAAAGCCAACAAAACCAAAGACGAGCTTTAATCCAAAAACAGAGTACAGTGTGTGCGTGTGTGTGTGTGTGTGTGTGTGTGTGAGAGAGAGAGAGAGAGAGAGAGAGAGAGAGCGAGAGATACCTTTTAGTCAGTCCATTCTAAACACTGATCTGGTTTTATCTACTCAACCAAGCTGTCATGAACTGTCTGTCTAATCAAATCTAATAAAGTCTTCAGTTAAAAACTCTTGATGGTTGCAGGACTTCTTATTTATTTAACCTCACTGGGTCTCTGTGGTTGTTCGACATCATGTTGATCGGAAATTCAAAGTTGAAGCAGAGTTGACTTCAGCTAAGAGAAAAAGATCCTTGACATAGAACTGTAGACTGATAATGAATAATAAAGTCAGGGTTGATATATATAAGGTCCAGTGTAACATTTAGGAGGATCTATTGGCAGAAATGGAAATCATTAGTGTATAATCACCCGTATATAGGAGTCTTTTGTTACCTTAGAGTGAGCTTCTTTATCTACAGGCTGTGGGTCGTCTTCCATGGAGTCCGCCGCCATGTTGAACCAATGAGAAACAAAAAAATTGGGCCAACTGAGGCCAACCAAATAATCAAAGCAAAATGAACTGTGCCTGACTGTGTGGAGGAGCAACTGATGTTCATCTAGAGACATAAGAATTACAGGTTTTTTTATTGATCACGTGAAAAACAACACTGTAGACCGACTTTGATGAGCTTATGACCCCAACAACAACCTGCTGCTAAACCATTGAACAAACCTCTTTACTCTTCTCTCTTTTAACAACAGTTTTGCTTAAAATCTTTAGTTTTTAGATTTTATCATCATGCTATGGTTCCACTGAGAGCTCATAAACGATAATACTAAAAACATAAGCACTAAATTACAGCAATAGTCCAGCATAGAAAATTTAGGTGAGCAACTATATTTAATTTAGCGACAAAAATGAAAAAGAAAAAAGCTTAAAATCTCAATAAAAAATCAAAGCAGTTTTAATTTAAAACCCATTTACATCCCATTGACAGTTATTTCTGCGGTGCAGCCTGTATCCAGCTCCCAGTGACGCGGTGTGACTTCACACGGAGGCTGGAGGAGGACGCCGCCGCTCCGCGCAGCTCTCCGACCGTCTCCTCTCGTTCTCTCAGCGGGCGTCGGGCAGCAGAAAGCCGGAGGGATGGAGCCAGCGGGCGCGTACGGCGCCGGGAAGGCCGGGAGCGTCGCCTTCGACCCGGTCGCCTTCTTCACGCATCCCCGGACCATCCTCAGACTGATGTCGTGGGTAAGTCTCCTCTGCAATGTGTGGGTTGACATCAATGGACAGGCCTACCTGCACCCCCTCCCCTCCTCTCTCTGTCTCCCATTCACATTGTTCCTGTCTGTCGCTCTCTTCTAATGTATTTAGTCAGGTCAGGATTTCAATCAGGATTTTTTTTTTATTAATAAAACTCTCAGTATGTTTTGGTTAATATCTGAGCTGTGTATTAATTCCAGCTCGGTGTAATAAACAGAAACAATTGCACGGATGCAGCTTCTGGCTGGAGCTCCAGCACCAGCGTCTGATTACCATATGTTTATCTGGAGCCTCTTTGTGTCTACATTGAGCTCATGTGAAGGCTTTGGGTTTAAATGCCCGCTAACCAGAATGTAACACCTCTCTATCGTTTTCTCTGGTGGGATGCTGTGCTGCTGTGAGTCACCATACACCATTTAATGTGCACTGAAGGAACAATTTGGTTTTTTAAAGGAGGTAAAGCAAGTTAACAGCAGCAAACCAACCCTCTCTCTATCTCTCTCTGTCTCATAATTCAATTCACTTCAACTTGATTTGTCATAACCAATTTGCCGGAGCTTCTTAAAACAAAGCACATCTAACAGTGAAAGTAAAAACAAAATCAAAGTCAAAAACAAGCAGTATTTCCATTTTATGCTACTTTACACTTATACTCCATTTTGAAAGCTTACATTGTGCTCTTTATATATCTATTTGCCAACATTAGTAACTTGCAGATTCAGATCATTAATGCAAATATAACCAATATATTGTGATGTATTATTATGGATTAAGCTACCTGGCAGTATATACAGTTAAAATCAGCCCCAACTTTATATCTGTGATGTATATTATTGTGAGATACGCCATTCTGCATAATGACTACTTTTATTTTTCATATATTTATATGTTTTATATATGTGGTGTTTCTACTTTTATTTAAAGGTCCAGTCTGTAACATTTAGTAGGATTTATTAGCAGAAATTGCAAAAACCTTAGACCTTAGTGACCTTAGAATGGGTTGTTTTTATCTACAGAGTGAGTCGGTCCTCTTCTACAGACAGGTTAAACTGCTATGTAACCTAGAACAGACAAACCAAACACTGGCACCAGATAGGGCTTTATGTAGTTCGCAGCCACCGTAGTTTCTCCTACACACGCTTGGAAGGCTGAGCTGTATTCAAATGGTTGCAATCTGTAATTTCATCACTAGATGCTAGCACTAAATCCTACACACTGATCCTTTAATTAAAAAGTCTCCAAGAGGGCTTCTGTGTCAGAATCAAAGCTTGATATCACACTTTCACTGTCCTTCAATTTGATCCAATTAAAATAAGATGAATTTGAGAGTAGGGGAGATGAAAAAGCTTGTTTTTGTCGCCTTCTGGGTTTTGCAAAACAAAAGTATCGTATTTCAGGAACAATGTCCACGGTTACTGTCCATGATTGATAATTCACAGGCCCCCACTGCAGAGAGTTTGTAGTGTTTTCTACATTATACACAAGGCTGTTTATAATATCTGCTGACAGTGAGCTCTGTGGATTATCAACAGTAACCAGAAAAAATGCTTCTGGAAAGTCACACTGCTCTTCAGTTTGTCTTAGTGGTAAAGTTTAAAAAAAATAGTCGTTAATTAAACTAAAACTGTCTGTGTGACAGGAGGACAAATGTTTAGTAATCTGGGTGAGCTGACCCTTTAAGAAAACTATTTGTAACAACAACACTTATTCCCACAAAACAAGGGCAACTTTACAAAATAAAAATGAAACTATCTGCATGGCTAGACACACATCACTCGGGGTAATTGAGAAAATGTGTTTTTGTTTGTTTTTTGGTAATTTGGGTGAGCTAAAGCTTAAGAACTACTACATAATTACAGAAGTATATCTTTGTATCGTGAAGCAGTGGGTGTACTGGTGTGTCTGTGTGTGGCATTTATGAGGAATGAAAGGCATTCACACACCAGTGTGAGTTCATTCTCTTCTACCTGTTAGATAATAAACCAGCCCACGTGTCTTTCCCCCTGCAGGTTTTCTCCATGGTGGTGTTCAGCTGCATCGTGAACGAGGGCTACATCAACATCGGCAGCGAGCGTTTGCTCTGTGTCTTCAACAACAACGCAGACGCCTGTAACTACGGTGTTACTGTGGGAGTGGCCTGTTTCCTTGGCAGCATCTTTTTCCTCATCCTGGATGTTTATTTTCCCTCCATCAGCAGCGTCAAGGACAGAAGACGCGCTGTCCTGCTGGACCTTGTCTTCTCTGGTACATAAACACATAAATATCTCTCAGATAACAATAAGACATTTTATTTATGTAGCACTTTTCTTAACAGTGTTACAAAGTGCTTTAAACGAATAATAAAAGCCAGACAAGACAGATAAAATAAGGCCCCGCGAACATGAATATAGTGGAAATAAATCAACAGAATGAGTGAGAATAACCGACTGTTGTTGAACAAATACAAATATGTAGAGAGAATCTTCAAAAACAAAGTTAGAAAAAAGGCAACACGTTAAAAACCACAAATATTTAAAGCAATTGGAAAACACACAAGGGTGCCAGATTAAACATATAATGAAGTAAAGCAAAATACAGTCAAACAAAAGAAAAAAAAAATGTCCCCAATGTGTCGCTCCTCAGAAGCAACTTTAAAGGAATAGTTTGACATTTTGGGAAGTACTCATATTTAGAGAGTTATATCAGAAGATCAAGCCAGCAGCTGGTTAGCTTAGCTTAGCACAAAGACTGGAAACAGGGGGAAACCGCTAGCCTGGCTCTGTTGTCTTTCCAACATAGACGAGCCAGCACATAGCATATCTGTGTTAACCGAAGGTCTGGTCCTGACCGAGGCTTGCTCCACTGTTATTGGACCACAGAGCAAAAAGGGGCGGGGCTTAGGAAGGGTTCATTGAAACAACGTTATGTGTATCTGAAGCAAGTTGCTCTATTAAAAGAAGATTCAAGTAAAAAAATGTAAGAAGAAGTTCAAAAGATGCTGCCTTCCTCTCTCTGTGTCCCGCCTCCAGGCCTTGCCAGCTTCCTGTGGTTCGTTGGCTTCTGTTTTCTGGCCAATCAGTGGCAGGCTACCTCTCCAGACGAGCTGCCGTTGGCCCAGGGCTCAGACGCTGCCCGGGCCACCATCGCTTTCTGCTTCTTCTCCATCCTTACCTGGGTCTGTATGTTTATACTGCCATCTGTCTGTGTGTGTGTGTGTGTGTGTGTGTGTGTGTGTAGGTGTGTAGGTGTAGGTGTGTGTTCATCATCATGTTTGTGTGTATTTCAGGGTTATCAGTGTCTCCTGGCATTGAACAGATTTAAGAGCATTTCCTTCATGGAGGACAAGCAGAGGCTCCTACCTAGAAGCCCTCCCACCCTCTCTCTAGTCTAACACACACACACACACACACACACACACACACACACACACACACACACACACACACACACACATTCACACACTCTCATCTATACATTATTGGTTTATTTAGGGCATGTCTGAGAGTTTTTTCATGTAGCGTCGAGTTGAGTTCAGTGATAGTAGTTAAAGAAGTTAAGAATAACTATATACAAACAGCCAATCTTCTCGCTGATGGTCTTGTTTTCTTATATAGGTGATACAGAGGCATCAGTATTATATTAAGACGGTTTTATAAGCAGTTAAAAACTTGTAGTAGGTTTAAGCTGTAGAATATCAGATTCAGAGTAGGGCTGGGTGATATGGTTGAAGGTACTGGAATTTTACCCAATATTGATATATATCAATATCATGGCCAATGTATTCACCGTGTCACATGTAAGATAATCAAATTGATGCAGAATGCAATGAGCTGTGATCAACTGCTTTGTTATCAGACAAAATCTTTCATACGCGTACAACAAAAACTCATTATGTTTGTTTTTAATTACAGTTTGCTTAGAATAATTAAATTGAACAGTTTTTTTTTAAAGGCTCAAACTAATTTTACACTTCCAAGGGATTTGTTTGTGGTCTGTCTTTACTATAATCAAAACTATAATGAATTTGTGGGGCGGTGGTGGCCTAAAGGGTTAGATTTTGATCCACTGACCAGCAGGATAAATCTTGGTGGGGAAAGTGAAATATCAGTGCTTGCACATCCTTCCATTACAACCACTAATTTGCCCTTGAGGAAGGCCCTTAACCCCAAACTGCTCCAGCTGAGCTGCTTAGCTGCCAACAGGTCAGACTTTGGCTCTACTGGACAGTTTCCAGGTGTGAATGTGTGGAAAACGATGTTCCAGAAAAAGAGCTGCTCTCAGCAATATTCCCGTTGAAATAAAAGTTAAACAAAAAAAGAATTGCAATGCCAGAAAAGATTCCCAGTCAGACAGAGACTGACTGACTGATTTATTATCCACTGATAACTCAGTGGACCCTTTAAACCCATCTATAACCACCAAACCTATTTCAGCCATTCATCTCACTGTCCGAGGATGTGGGGGAGGTTAAGCTGTAATTGTGTCAAGGGTGTAAGGTACGTTACAAAAGATCTCTTTTAGTCTGTGAAGTGATTTTTCTACAATAGTCCAGTGACAAATTAATCCAATATTCTTCTGTGGAGGATTTATGGTATGTGACAGAGAACGAAATCAATGATCTTTTGACTTTGACTACTCTTTACGGAACTGATTTTACACTTTAAAGTCGGTTTATAGGAGCCTGTGAAAACAGTTATATAACAGCTTGGAGACTTCTAACTTTTACTAAAGAAAAATCTACCTTAGTAACTGGGGGCATGAAGTTTGGAAGATAAGGGATTTACCAAGCAGAAAGGGTATAATGCTATATGATGCTCTCCAGTTGCATTTAACACATACTAAGAACGAAAAGTCAGGAAGTCAGGCCTCTGCTGCATTGATTTGACTATTCTTTTTTTTTAATTTGTCTCTTGTGAGGCTCCTAACTTTATGAAAGTACAATACTGAATTGATGGAATTTTAATAGTTTTCCAAAGTCACCTTTTGTATTCTGCTCCTCTAGTTTCTGAATCATCCTCCTGTTTTAACCAAACTGTGTCCAGGTTTCCACTGCCGGGAACTTGATGAAATGTAATGTAATATGTAAATCACATCATGAGTTCTGCTTTTGTTTCCACTGTTCTTTTCACTTTGGGGGATTAGCTCCTGGAACTCAATTTTCGGCACTGCTCAGGATGTAATAATAAATGCATGTTCCTGGAACTTTCAGGATTTGCCACCAGCAGAAATTAAAGATCACAATGGGTCTGGTGGATAAAAATGCAAAACTTTGAAGTGATTCGACACGCCAGGTTCCGTTTTGGGCCACAGACCAGATTGTGTCCGACCCAGCTTTGATGTAGACTCACACGTCGCTGTTTGTAACTGCTGTACACAGCAGACACTGAAGGAAGAGCCTAGACCCAAAGCCTCACACACTTCTTAAAAGTTTAGGTTTTGGGAGTTGTCGATACCACGCTTGAGGAGGCGATATTTTTTCACCTCCTTCTGCCTCTGATTAGCTTACTCTGACATTGTTACCCTAACCAACCTCACTCATCATGCCTAAACCAAACCAATGGAGGCAACGAGTACTAGCCAATCAGAGCCAGAGCAAGGCAGGTCATGATTTCGCCCTATTTATCATATCTCAACAACTACTGGATGGACTGCCATGATATTCTGTAGAGGCACTCGTGTTCTCCAGAGGATGAATCCTACAGACTTTGATGATCCCTTGACATTTCATGTAGCTCCATCTTCAGGTCAACATTTCCATTTGTCCAATATACCTACAAAACGAATGACATTCCCAACAGCACCAGTTGTTCTTTGGGTTTAGTGCAAATGTTAACATGTTATCAAGCCAAACTATGACGGTGAAGCTGGTAAACATTATACATACTAAACATCAGCATGTTAGCATTCTGATGTTAGCATTTTGTTCAAAGCTCAAAGTACAGCCTCACAGAGCAGCTAGCATGGTTGTAGACTCTTAAGGCCTTTGAACACCAAGTCCGTATTTTTAGTCTGAAATTGTCACACGTTTATAAATAAATACGACCTCACGTTGCACTCAATCATATTTACACAGTCTCTGAAACTTTCGTCCATCATTTCAGTTGTCGGAACATGTTTTCATCTGCGGTTTTTTTACCCCAGTCAGAAAATTGAGGATGAGGACAGCACACAGACAGAGGAGGAGGACAGCTCTGCCTCTTGTAGCCACAGGGCCAAATTCAAGATATGGGAAGAGAGTGGCAATAGACCACAAAATCATCCTCATTGCTTGTTTTGTTAATTTCACAAAAAAATGGAATAGTAAAACGCATGGATTAAAAACCACATAGAAAAATACAGACATGGTGTGCAAAGGCCTTTAGCCTGTAACAGTAGTCATGTGATTCTAACTAACTAACTGTTTGTGTGTGTGTTACTAACAGGCTGTACTGACCCTGAGCGCACTGCGGCGCTTCTTAACTGGCAGCAACACAAACTTGTTCACATGGCAACACCTGGATCCTGCTCCCAGCAACGCTCGAGCTACACCGTACCCCATCGCCAATGGAGCTACCATAGTGACCACCAACCCCTATCAAGCCCCGCCCTTTACTGAAACCCTGGACCCCCAGAAACTAACACAGCAGAGACCCATGGCTCCTGCCTTCTAGAGATAGACAGACAGACAGACGGACAGAAAGAGGTGTGAGTTGAACGCATACAACGCAGGCACGGACAACTTCCTGCCTCGCTGATTAGCGGCTTTCCATCCTCTCCTGGGATTGGCGGGATTTTGGGTCATGTGATGTACGATCTGTTTTCACCATGGCAACTGCTGGCTCAGCTTAGTTAGTTGTAACTCTCTTTGTCAAGAATACTGTCTTCTGCTCATGTACACACAGATATTGACGCACGCAAACACAGCTGTACTCTCTCACACCTGGAAACAGATACACATGTACACCTGGAAACACGTGTATATACACCTGGAAGTTCATACACACAAACATATACACACACATACACACCTTGACTGCATGTTCATATGGTGAGGTGCAGATTAACATAGATGTAGATCAGTGATGATGCTCCATCTGCCTTATAAAGGGACACAAGGTCTTTAGTGAAGGAAATATGGAGGACAGTGATGCTGTGTAGCTCTGTTGATCTTCTCCTGTTTGCCCTCAGTCAGTCTGACCAATCACAAGCTGCCTTGCAGACCTATGGCCTCTGATTGGCTGAAATTGAGACAGACGGGCAGCTTGACCAATAGATTGTGAGGAACCGAGTGAGGGTGGCAGAACTTGCAGAAATTGGTACATTTTCTTGGCAAGGAAATAAAGGCAGGATAGCTTAATGCATTCTGAATGCTATAGTGTTTCAGTGTGAAATATTCATGTGATTAAATATTTTATTGTGATATGCTGAAGTGGTTAAATGAAAAAATAAAATCTATCCACCACCACCATCACCGCGACCAGAGCTGCTTTTGTTCACATCATCTTTAAATAATTTCTTCTTTACTTCTTGCAATGTGAGAAACTCTTTTTAATATAAATATGTATTGAGACCAAGAAGGATGTGTTAAGCATATTAATCAACATCTGCTGGAGGACCATAATTAGATAGGGTACTCGAGTTATGTTGAATTCATTAGCAGCAGCAGGCAGCAGCTGTGTGTTAGCTTTATTTTTGGATTAAGCGGCTCACGCTGAAGGACTGTAACCCCTTATACTGTGTGTGTGTGTTTTTTTTTTTTTACCTCTTTATATAGGGGGAAAGGACAGATTTAGACGCAAGGTTATGGAGTCAAATGAAAGTCAGACAGGAAGTGGTTTTATTCCAGCACTGTCCAATAATGTATCTGCAGGTGAGCTTACTGAATGTCATTCCCTGCTTTCATTCTGCAGGAACATTATACAATATTATGAACATTTGCATCATCCAGAGTCATCATTATCATCATCATTATAATCAACATCCTATAACGCTGACGTCACCCATCATCCACCCTCATCATCACCGGCACCAGCAGATAAATTGACATTCAAAAATGTAGAAATTCACCTTTGTAGTTCTCATATCATCCCTGCTGTGTTAATAAAATATAATCTTAGCCTACAAAGTTTTTTCACACCATTATATCACCTGAATAAGCCCTTCTGTACATCTGCTTTTGTCTACATTACAACCCACACCCGTACAGTATAATGTCTTCAAACATCATGGGAGACGGGCCAGCTCCAGCTTCAGACAGCAGGGGGCAATCTAACTCTGCAGACCTCTGATCACATGCTTCATACTCACCTGCGTCTGAACTACCTCTACCCTGAGAATACTAAGACAGAGAAACGGAAAGTGGAAGGGGTGTGAAACTAAGCTGACTGAACATTCGAATGGGTGGGATCAGGAAAAAGCGAGGTAGAAACTACTAAAGCCTAGGTCACACTACACGATTTTAACTCAGAGGCTCTAAGCGCAAATTGATTTTTCTGACTGTCAGGGTTGGGAGGATTCAGGCGTGGGAAGTTTCTCAAACATCACAAAGATGTCCATGTTTTGTTTGGCCGGGAAAGACTGCAATCTGAGAATTATCAAGCAACGTCCAGTGGCAGTTTACTGTAGATTAAGAGGTACGAAAAATAGGAAGATTAGTCATATTAAAAAACAAAACCTCCCACTCAGGTTAGACATAAGATTCTCATTTTGCTCCACTTGTAATAAGCTGCTGTACAATTTGTTTTGTTGGAGGAATAAGTCTCTATTAAAATGTGCCTGCAGCAATCTAAATAAGCGTGCAATTAGAAACTAAGCATTTACATATAAAATTTGTTGTCAGCTTTAACGTTTGTAAGTTTATCACTTAAAAATTTATTTTTCCTGTAAACATAAACTGTAATTTCTGTACCACAGAGCTAGAAATTAGGGAATTTTACTTAAACAGTTTAAGATTATCATTAGACTGAATGAGATGCTGTGTGTTAAGCTGAAAAATTGGTTGGTTAGTTGATCAACAGATATTGAAACTGCAGCTATTTTGACAAATATTTGATGGTTTAAGCCACTCAAACATTAAGATTTGTGGCTTTTCCTTGTCTAAGGACTTTGGACACTGATGAACATTTTTCTATTCTTAATGATTTATAGACGGTTTAAGGTTTAATTGATTTATCTATAATCTGCAGATTAAAATGCAGTCCCTAGTTGTGTTATCTTTTTGTCAATATGTGGATGTGTACACGAGCAGATTAGTCACTAGCTTAATCCGTACTGCACCTTTTGGGTCATTTTGTCTTGTACTCTGACCAAGGCTTGAGGTACAAGGAAAAGGATGAGAGTGAGGGCAGAGGGAGGAGAGCAAGCAAGGGGAAGGTTAGAGTTCGAGTAAATATAGCAGGAGAGTGACCACTATGTCTGAACTAAAGCTAGGACTATGATAGAAGAAAAGGAAACGTCTTCTTGTGTGCATCTTCTGTGCAAATAGCACTAAGGGTCTTTGAACACATACACACTCATACACACACAGTGTGAAAGAGTTCTGCTCAAACACCCTGTGAAAATTTTGTGATTGGACAGGACGAGGTGAGGTGAGGGGCGGGGCCCAAAACAGGAAACATGTATCCTCCCTGTTTTGGATTGCGGCTCCCACCCCTCCCGTGTGCTTCCGCAGCACATCAGGCTCCTCCACGTCAGAGAAAAACCAATCCAGCGTCACTGAGTTTGTTTAGTCGTCCACAGAACTTCCCTCTGGTTGATTAGGAGAGAGGGTTGTGGCATCAAATGATAGAGTCCGCCTTCTCAGCTCAACACTGCTGTCCATTAGCTGGGTTGCCGTAGTAACCGGCTCCTCTCCTGGCGGCGGGCTAACCCTCTGCTTCCTGTTCCTGCCCGACACCGGAGACACTGATTGGCTGAGGCGGCTCCTGTGCTCCCCGGGGCTCGGGGAGAGGTGTCTGCTTTTGTGTGAGGGGCTGGGAGGAAGTTGTGTGTGTGAGTGTGTGTGAACAGAACTGTTAATGCGGCTAACTTCCTCGTCTGCGTCATCCAACTGGGGGCCCGGATCGGAGCCAGGGCCGGGGCTGGCCGCTCTGGAGCTGCAGAGCGGAGCTGATAAGGTGGATTCACCGCTGGGGAACTTCAGACTGGACAGGCTCTGTGGGCTGACAGACCTCTTCTCGACATCTGTTTCAGGCTGCGAGCCACAGATGGCCTGCTCAGGTACATGTTCTTGCCCAGTGGTTTCACTGTGGCTCCGGCTGTGGCTCCTGCATGAGATGACCCTCTGGGGGTGTGTATATTTCAGTGTGTGTACACTGGACGATCGCTGGCGTGGAGGTGTGGAAGAGATGGCGGGCACAGTGAGGTGAGGCTCTGCCAGGTCGTCAGTAGAACCGCTCTGATCCAGAGAGTCACAGCGCACAGCCTCCTGCAGGCGAAACACAAACACACATAGACGACACAATCTTAATTATGTGTTGGGTGGAGCAAGTTCAATAATTTTTTTTATGTTTTACAGAAAATATACAATGTGAAAACTTTGTAATAGGAACAGGATATTTTGCAAACAGTCTGTTGAGACTGTGAGCAAGTTTAACAATAGTGCACGTAGATCATTATTTGTTATTATAAACACAAAACTCACCACTTCCTGTGTAGAAGTACAATTTTGTAAGAGTTTATTATCCAGAACAGATCCTAAACTGCATTTAAAGGGTTTGTGGTTGCTGTAATCATTGCTTGTCCGTACTGATCAAGAAACAATCCCTTCCTAGAGCGACTACACTGTAAAACATGGCAGACAAAATCCTCAGTTCTGTTCTGTGTCTGTCATGTATTCTTAAGTTCATCTGAAGCTAATATGAGGCTCAGTTGCTGAGTGGGTATTTTCTAATATCTATCCATATGCAACTGTTAGAGGAGATATTCCACCGCCGCAGCTCAACAAGGAAACACTGTCAGGTGAAAAACACAAAGGGAATTTCATACATAAAAAGACTGGTTACTGTTATTTGTCTAACTTAGACTGTTGAAGCTTTATATTAGCTCTGTCTGAACGTTGCAATGCATTTATGTACAGTGGATGTTGCCCCCAATGTTATACAGTGTACACTCCGGGAGGGGATTTCTTCCCAGTCAGTATGGAGAGTATGGAGAAGAATTACAGCAACCATTAAGTCTTTCAATGAATATATAAAAGCATGTGAGTGTCAGAAGGACTTAAAAAAAAGTAATCTCATAGACCTTAGTACATTTAACTGTTTCTGTTGTGTTTTAGGTCTTTTTAGGTGTATTTTCATGAATTGTCCTTCCAGGCATCAGTTGGTTTACATTAATTTCCATACAGTATGAAAATTAATTAGCAGATGCCCTCCATCACAGTGAAGACGGACTGCATAAATCATTCTGATAGCTACATCATCACTGAGTGTTAAAACAG